TGTCCTGGTTCCAATGCCTGCCCTGGGTCTCACCAAAGCCCCGTCTACCCCAGCCTGAGTCTGAAAGAGCGGAGAGCCAGGAGTGTGCAGGAACAGGGCAAGGAAACAACCACCCTTGCGCAGAGGATGCCTGACCCAGAGGTGGTGTCTTCCAATTTAACAGGCCCACGGTGGATTTTTTCTATCATATCATTAGGGAAATGGGGACGGTGAAGTGGGAATAAAAAGCAAAAGCCAGCGTGGTTAAAGCAGCACTGTTCTCTTGGGGGAGCATGAAACTCAGAATAAGAAAAAAGGGAATAAAACCGATTGGGTGGAGTTTTATTTGACAGAAAACCTGCTGGGTGCTGAAATCAATTTTCTCTAGACCTGTAAGATGCTCGGCAACAGCATCTTGTGAGAAAGGTGGGGACAGACTTTTTAGCAGGGCCTGTCATGATAGGACAAGGGTGAATCTTTTTAAACTAGGAGAGGGGAGATTCAGACTGGATACGAGGAAGAAGTTTTTTTACAGTGAGGCTGGTGAAACCCTGGCCTGGGTTGCCCAGAGAGGTGGGAGATGCCCCATCCCTGGAAACATCCCAGGCCAGGCTGGACGGGGCTCGGAGCAGCCTGATCCAGCTGAAGATGTCCCTGCTCATGGCAGGGGGTTGGACTGGGTGGCCTCGAAGGGGCCCTTCCCACCCAAACCACGCCGTGATCCTGTGATGCGTGGAGGGCACGAGGGTTTCTCTGCACACAGGTGAGCGAAGCTGCAGTGATGGTAGGGAAGTGTGGGACCTGGTGCCTGTCCCAGCAGCGGGGACAGCAGGGATGGTGCAGGCTGGCGTTCCCCATGTTGGATTAATGGGTGAGGAGGGGGATGCACAACGCGCCTGTGGGCCAAGCCCCTCGAGACCTCTTTCTTCTCTTCCAGTGAGAGCACTTCCAACCTCAAAGCCTTGTTTGACTTCGTCCGGACGTCCCTGACTCCCACCGACAGCGACGCCTGGAAAGGCCCCGTGCTGCTGGTGGACGACCTCAGCGTCCTGCTCAGCCTGGGTGCCACGCCGGTGGCCGTGCTGGACTTCGTCCACTACTGCAGAGTCGCCGTGTGCTCCCAGCTGAAGGTGCTGCTCCCTCCACCCGCAGCCTCCTGTGCGCTACGTGTGCAAAAGAGCCTCTGGAGAGAAACCTGCCTTTCTTTCCTTTTTTCCACCTGTGTATGATGAGGTTTTGGCTGTCCAAGAGACTCAAACCATTGCTCTAGGGCCGCTCTCAGGGAGTTGTGTTAGTCCCCAGAGTTCCTCTGTAGGGTCCTTTGCCACTGGTGTCCCTGGAGGTGCTGCCCAGAGAAGGGTCCCCGACACGTGAGCAAGGATTCGAGCTCTTTTCAGTGGTGCCCAGTGACAGGACAAGGGGCAATGGGCACAAACTGAGGCACAGGAAGTTCCGTCTGAACATGAGGAAGAACTTCTTCCCTCTGAGGGTGACGGAGCCCTGGAACAGGCTGCCCGTTGGGGGGTCCCTGTCTCTGGAAATATTCAAGCCCCGCCTGGACAAGATCCTGTGCAGCCTACTGTAGGTGACCCTGCTTCGGCAGGGGGGTTGGACTGGGTGACCCACAGAGGTCCCTTCCAACCCCTACTATTCTGTGATTCTGTGTAAAGTATTGTTTTTTAGAGCTCCTGGCTCTCCAGAGATCTCTACTCCCACCCATGTTTGTGTGCGTGTGGGATGGCAGGGAAGGAAGCGGGTCAGGACGGTAGCGAGGGGCTGGTGAGTCCTGCAGCGAGCAGAGGTGAGGGGACATGAGTCTCTGTTTCCACCAACCTCCAGCGTCGCTGTGTGTGGCACCGGCTGGGTTCTGAGGGTCTGTGATCTCCCCCCGTGATGTCCTAACTTCTGAGAGCATCGCAGCCAGAAATCCTGACGGTCACATAGAATCCCAGAATCCCAGCATGGCAGGGGTTGGCAGGGCCCTCTGGGGATCCCCCAGCCCCACCCCCTGCCGAAGAAGGGTCAACCCCAGC